CTTCATAAGCTCATCCCCGACAGAGATGCATTCCCCAGCAAGTAAAATATGCCTTCAGACGAGAATTGGGGAATCTTCCAACAGTTCACGTAATCATCTCCCTCAGTAGGTCCCCTATCATACAAGGAAGTTTGACCATTTCCCCAACATATAGTGGAAACTTCCTCCACACAACCTATGAAATCAGAAATGATTCCCTCAACATAGTTTACGGGAATCTAGTTCTCCAACGGAGTCTATTTCTCTAACATTGTAAAATCCCCTGCAAAATTCTCTTCTCCAGTATGGTTTATTTCCCCAGCATGGTTTATTTGCCCAGCAGGGTTTATTTCCCCAGCAGGGTTTATTTCCCCAACAAAGTTCATTTCTCCGATTAGTGTAAATCCGTGGAAAAATTCTCTTCTCCAGTAAAGTGTAGTCAAGGTTGCTATCCCTAAAGAGTTGCTATGGTATCTGAAACCTGGCCAGGTATCACGTAAGAGGAATGTCCATTTCTTTTATCCCCGACCAGGATATATAATGACTAAATTCCCCAGTAGAGCGATGAACGACCGATGTTCCTGGAATGCTTCTATCCCCAAGCTAAAATCGAACATCCCCAATGGAATATCCTCAAACAGAAAGCAGGAATCCCCAGCGAAGATATTCTAAACAAGATTGATGATTCATATTCCCCATCCCCAACAACATTCAGATATTTATTTCCCCCAGCTAAATATGTTGCATGAAGCTACCATACACTTCAACAACATATTGCATCCGTACATCATTTACAAAACATCATAGCATATGTATACGAAACTCATATAACACTATCGTTTACTTTGAGAACATCATTGTGCAATGCATTACACACATCATGACGTTGCATAAAGACTAACTTTGTCTTTTTAGGTAAAGTCTACAAACAGACGAATTAACCTTTTTGCAATTTTTAAACCAATTAGAATTTTTAGGTTTTATCTTGATCATCATCAAAAAATATTTTTCATAAAAAATCACTAAAAATATTTTCCTTTTCTATGTATATCTTACTTTTATCGACTGTATATGTTTTTTGCAAACGTAATAGCTAGCTTTAGTTCTCGCTTTCCTTTTTCATTATGATGTAACTACTTTCCGGTTTGTAATAGCTTAGGGTTCTTACTTTCCGCTTTCTATTATGTAATTGTTCCAAATCCATGTAATAGGTTTAGATTTATGTTTTTTGCCTTTACTTTCCGCACCTTTACAGCTTTATTATATATGTTATACTACTGCTTAGTAATTAGGGTTGTATGGGAAGATAAAACCAATCGATAGATAACCTAACTTCAAGACAAAATAACTGAATACAAAACCCTTGCACATGCACACCTCTAGGGTAGTCTCTCTTGTTGCCTTTTGATTAAACATTCATGTCCCTCGAAAGTGGGTACACTTTAGCAAAGTCCCTCGATTCAAAGATCATAGTCCCTCGATGACCCTTCGATGTTGCCTTTCGATAAATGATCTAGTCCCTTATGAAATTGCTAGTGTCCTTACAAGTTGCCTTCGATGACTGTACGATGACCATGCGCCCGTCCCTTCACATCCAACGATAGGGCTTCTTACTAACTAATGGTACGGATAACACTATCTAAAGGAGGAGGAAAGTACAAGAACGACCTTGAGTGGATAGATAATTTTAATCGCTTTCTCATAAAAACAAAACATTTCACAAACACTTTCAAAATATTTTCAAAAAAAACACTTTGTACGCGTTCTTGAGGATTGATACAAGAATCATTACAAATTCTGCCTCACTATGGGATTTTTTTAAAAAAATATTTTCAAAACACACTTACACAAAAAAGAAAATTTTCAAAGTGAGCTAAGCGATTAAGAGCCCGTAGATAACTACGGATGAAAAGGGTGCTAACACCTTCCCTTTTCATAACCTACCCCCCGAACTCAAAATCTTCAAGGTCTTTCCTGTTCTTTTCACCCTTTCCTTATTGGATAAAAGAAAAGTTGGTGGCGACTCTAGCTATCCATAACATTTGCATTAAAACGCAAAACAAGTCAGTTCTCCCACCGTATTACACACTCGCTCAAGTAGCACACACCTAACCAAGGTATCCTGTCACCAAGGTAGGAAGGGGAGAGGGATACTACCTAACCATGATGTCGTGTCATCGAGGTAGGATAAGGGAAATGGGACACCTAACTATGATATCGGGTAAGCAAGGTAGGATAAAGGGAGACTTAGTCAGGATATCGAGTCATCAAAGCAAGCAAAACTGGGGGGAATCAGTATCTCTTAACCATGATATCATGTCATCAAGGAAAGATGAATAGGGGTGTCGACCCTTAACCAAGATATCGTGTTATCTAGGCAAGAGAAGAATGAAAGTGAATTGTCATAGACGACTAAACACATAACAAAAATATTGTGTCATCAAAGTAGGAAATAAAAGACGTAATGAGATAACATCAAAGCATTAACGTTTACAAAAGCGACATGAAGACAAATTGTGGGGGTTGATTGTAAACCCTCTGCTCCACTTGAACGACTCAATAACAAGAGTAACACTGTTCATAGCATCAACGTACGACGTGAGGTACGAACAACCTGGGGACTAGAAATGGTGGGGGTCTATTGAGGACCCTCTGTTCCACCTTATGCCTTCTTTTAAGGGCTTATCAATAGGGAATGAGAATGAGACGCCTTCTTTGAGGTCTTTGGCACAAAGATAAAAACACATAATTTCCTTTATAAAGGACTTTAAACAAGCAAGCACAAGTAGGAATTTCCTTTTAAAGGTCTTTCAAAATACATTGCCCACCTAAAGTAGGGACTCCCAATCATGCATCTCTATTCCTACTTCTCATGGCAAGGAAAGCGATAAACAATGCAACTAACAAGGAATAAAAAGAGAGTTATGATGATACCTAAAGGAGAAATTATGTTACATATTAAAAGACGTGCAAGCAATAAGAAAAGTCTTCACAAAGCTTCCTTGAATTCCTTGATAAGGATCACACACTTATTTTTGCTTCGAAATTCCTTGAAACTAACCAAAGGGTGTAATCTGCAGCTAGTGTGCATTCAGTAAGCTGCTTGATCCATAAAATAGGCGTAGGCTCGCTAGAAAAAGTCTATGAAGTTATTTTTGTTCAAGATTGCAAGTGAAAAAACTTGTGATACGGGCCTAAGGGGAGGTGAGGTAGCAAATCCCAATGTATCTTGTTCCAAACAACACAACACCATCAGATTTAATTTTCAATTTCCAATTATTCATATTAAAAGAAATAAAAAATGAAAGGATAAAGGATGAACGACGTTGTATTGCACAAGGATTGCGACTGTTCACATCCTTTCAAACCTAATTTTGTTCTCATCTTCCCTCATTCAAATTCAGTTCTTCTTCCTCTGAAAACGGCTGACGTAGTAAGAGCCATCAGATACAAGAACCACCATTCTCCACCACCATTCAACTCGCCCAAACACCCTCCTTCACGATATCTCTTTCATTTTGTCCAATTTCATGTGTTCAATTCTAAATTTAACAAAGTGAGCTTCTGATCCCAATTCCTCAGGGTTTCAGTTCTACAAACCAATCTCTACACAGTGGTATCAAGGAACGAGGAAAGAGATGAGAGAATCCAAAGTAATCTACCTTAGAGGTGATGAAGACAAAGAAGTGATTTCAGGTATACCTTGTTTCTGCTCGAATCTTTTTCTTCATGTTTTCCTATTATCTCTTCTTCTACTCTTCTTTTACTCTTTGAACTATTTGCTTGTGCGATGTCCATTTCGTCGTGATGATGTGCGTTGTTTTTAATTCATCGCAGTTTGAATGAAGGATGTTGAATGTTGTGGATTTGCGATGATGACAATTGCAAATGAATCGAAGATTTGATGGAGAATATGTGGAGATGATGAAGATGATGATATTTGATGAAGAACGAAAATTTGTTGAAGCTTGAGGAAGTATGCAGATATAAATTTTTGGAGTTTTCTTTGTGATTTTTCTCAAGTGTGTCAAGAACGAACTGACGGTGATGAAGCTTTTTGTAGTCCAATTCAGAGAATTGAAGCAATGAGAAGTGGGGTTGCAGAGAGAATAATGAGAGTTTTCTGGAGTGTTTTTGGTGGCGATTCTTCTGTGAATTGAAGAATGAATCAATTGAAAGAGGTGAGTTCAGTTATATGGTTAGAAGTTTGTTACATGCTGTAATACCCCAAATTTGTCCTACCCTTTTACTTCCTATCTGGCTTACGCACTTTTGCATTTTTCTCACATTTGGTCATCTAACACATCATGCATCATTAATCAATAAATTGGCATAAGATCATGGATTTCGAGGAATAAGGGTTGGTGTATGGCTTTAAGGCTCCCATCTTCGCACAAGCTTGTTTCGGTTGATTTCTCCATTAATGATCTGTTTGAAGCTAGGTTTTCATTTCATGGACCTTATCATCATCAAGCTACGATGCTATTCTTTTCTTCTCAATGTCAAGTTGCAAGGTTTTATGAGACGAAGCTAAAAATCAGGGTTTATACATTTTCATATTTGAGCTTGTCAGCATTCTACCTGAGGTTCATTCCATATCAAGGTATTCGCATGTCTCATCTTTCATATTCATCTGCAAAGAATCCCTCAGGGCATAGTCATTATCATCTATTGAGAAGGGGTCCAAGACGTCGTTATTCTAGTGCTCATATAATCGGGACATGGTACAAGATGTTGATTGTGATCAAGGTGTCATTATTTCAAATGTTTATTGCTTGACACACAAGTTTGGTTTATACTGAGGAATTGAATTGAATTAGGGGTTCACTGAAGTTGTGGTTTGATTAGAATTCATTCATCAATATTTGAAGTGGATTTGGAGAAAATCAAAGTTCTTAAATATTCGCGTGGCTTTTCTTGGAATTCAAACCACAAATATGAAAAAGCATGCATCAAATTCATCCAAACATCAAAATATTGTCCAAATATCCTCTCTTGGATTCATTCAAGATTCATGTCTCTTTTGGTTGCCTTGCAAATATTTTGGATTAATACCATTTATTTGAATTCATACAAAGGCCATTTCATTATGTGGAAATAAAGTCAACATACATTCCAATGTGTATTCAAATATATACAAATCCAAATTCCATTACAATTATACATAACATCTATACGTTTTTACCAAAACCTATCCTAATTGTCAATCATTCTTCATGTTTTAAACTTCAAGTTTCCAAAACTTCGTGTTATGCGTCTTTGTTCCAACTTCATATCATCTTGGTGTTTTCCTTTTGCCTTTGCTTCCCAATAGCCCTGATATGAACCAAACCTACATAAACCATATTTTTATTTTTAAAAAAACGAATCTGAACATCAAAACCAGTTTAATAGTTCAAAAGTAAACCTGCAACAACCGAGATTTCGCGGTTAAATCACTCCAGTCCAATAAACAATCCAAAAGGGAAACAACCAATTCAAGTATCCAAAGCAAGAAAAGGAAAAACAAACCATCACTGATGCACTTCAATCCATGCTATAGTTCAGCACCGGGATCAAGTTCGGAATAAATGCAAAATGAGTCCATACAAAACAAGTTCACGTGCATCGAAATTCAGCCATACAAAACAAGGGTAGTAAATCAAAGAACATATATATCATCCGCAGTCCACCCTATTTTCAAGCGTCAATATTCAATCCAATCTACTAACTAGTTTCTTTTACATAACTATAAACTTCACCAACAGTTTTTTATATGGCTTAACCCAAGTTTCCACCAACCACTAGTTTTTGCTGGTGTTTGCTAACCCCTTTCTCAGTTGGCTCAAATTGATGAACTAACCTGCAAACTAACCAAATCCCCTTAACAGAAATTCTCACAGTTTACAACTACCCTATAACTGAAACTGAAATCGAACTCCAGCTATCACAATAACTACAACCTAACAACTTTTCTTAACTTTCTAACCAGATCCAAACTAACTTAACTAGTAACAAATTCTTAACTGCATCTCAGCTTCCTAACCAAAGTCATAATTCCCCAACCAACTTCCCGCAACTGTTTTCTATAACCAACTAACAGAATTTCTAACATTATCCTAACAGAACTTCTAACTATAACCAACTTCCCAAATCCTAACTAACTTAACAAACCATAACAAACTTCCAGCATATATAAATAGAGTACACAGCATATGCATAGAGGTGGACAGAATAGATAGGATTTTCAATACAAAAAAAGAATTTACCTCTAAATCATCTCACTCTGGAATCTGCAGAAGAACCACCATTTTTTTCTCATGCCTCATCTCAATCCACCACAGGGCCTTTTCACCAAACTCAGAACACGCTTCATTTTCCATCACACCTTCAACTTTCATCAATCTTGATCAACCTCTGAACGAAGCTCCTCATTGCACTTCTTTATTCTTCCGTACAAGCCTTCATCATCATCTTCATCTGTGAGTCAAGACCTTTCATCATACACCAATCTCCATCAACATCAAATCGCACATTACTGCATCACAAAATGCAATAACAACACAATCAACGCCGAAGACCGAAAACGCACAAGAACAACACGATTCATTTCCAAAAACTCGCCAAAAATCACTTACTTCTCTCTGAATTCCTCAGCAAAAGCTTCATCGATTCTTCTTCACAGCTTCATCAACATCACACCTCAGCAACAACAAGAAATCTGAAACTCAGAAAGAAGTGGAAGAAGGTATCGCAAGGAAACAAAAGAATCAGAGATTTTATACCTGAACTACACTTCGGTATCTCTGGTTTTCTACCCTTTTCTTCGTCGACGAATTCGCATCGGATGATCTTCGATAGAGATGAAGAAGTAGAACGAACCAAGGAGAGGATAGGATGATGATAAGCGGAGAGAAGGACAAATCGAATCGCAGCGGTGCTACGGAATCAGAAGGAGAACCGATCGAATCGTGTGAAGTAAAGGCTGATTGATGAAGGCAAAGCGAAACGACGTCGGACCTTGACACGAAATAAAGGATGGATTGGAAAAATAAGGTTGAAACGGCAGACGAAATTGTCTGATGGTGGTTAATCTCCAGAGATCGCCGAAGAAGAGACAGTGGAACGAAGACGGCGGCAGAAGAGGGACGGCGCCGATTCTGTTCGCCGCGAGAGAGGAAGAGACTTTCTTTTCTAACCCTAAAATTTCCTTTTTTTCATATCTTTTCCTTTTTTTAGTTTTAATTATTGTACAATTTTATTTTTGTTTTATTATTTTTTTAATTCAAATTAATAATAAAGAAAACTAAATTGATAATTAAACATATGTTATAAAAATGAGGAATTAATTAGACTGGGCCTCAGTTTTTACTTTAGGCCCGTGTTATTGTTTTTTAGCCTGAAGAAATTGAACAAAACTCTTTTTGGGCAAATTACTGCACTACACCCCTGAATCTAGCTTGTACCTCTTGACTCTTCTAATTCTTCTTTTTTATTATTTTAGTCTTTCTTCTAGTTTAATTTTCCTCTCAATTGACAATAAAAATAACAGAATATTTTATAATAGAATATTTTAGAATAGAATTTCTTTTTAGAATTTCGATTAGAATTTTTTCTATTTTATTTTTCATATTCGATAATCATTTTTATTGCCATTTTCTAGTCAAGACTTTTTGTAGCCTCGACATAACTCTTGCAATGCAAAATGCTCGGGGTGAATTCTTCAATCACTTGCCCAAGGGAACTTTGATAGATTTTTCTTACCGCTTGCACAATTTTGAAGAGGCAACGGACCTTCTCCGTTCGGTATCTTTACAAATCTATTTTATTCTTCATTTTCGTACTTTATCGCAAAACCATATGCGTGCTAACATTAGGTAGAATTCCCTCATTAATTCTAACTTTAGGTCTAACCACGCATAATAACATCAGGTTTAGAAATAGGCTAATTCCCCTTTGACTTTTCTTTCTCCTTTCGCATACGCATCTAAAATAAAAAACTTCTTTTTCTTTTCGAAATTCAAAACACTTTAAAACTATTGATTCGAATCATGCTTTTGCTTAGTACGAGAAATGATAAGCGGGTCTCTTCCCGATCTTATTGTTCTTCATCTCAAGCATAGGTGTGGTTCAATTCTCAAAGACTCCTTTCGTAGCTAAGTAGAAAAGTGGCTAATATCTCTCTCTTGAGGTCGACTAGTCAATATCTACAACAAAAATACAAAACAAAATCAAATCTTTTGTGCGCTCGAGCACCATTTCATTAAAAAACCCTTTTCAGGTAAGGACACGATTAATTTACTTCTGTGCCAACGCATAAGCCTCCAAAGGTCGAGCTGCGGCAGAAGGCGGGATTAACTTCGTCCATAAAAAACACAAAACATATGAGCCGAACTACGGTAGCTCTGATTCCTCAAAAAGGATACGTAGGCATTGGGGTAGGGCCCAGGCGAGCACAATTTTATTTTCCCTACATTCTTTTCTCTTTTCTTTTGCATGCATTCCTCCAGTAGTATAGTAAACAGTAAACATAGATTAAACACACCCATAAGATAGATAACAAGAGTGGATACCGTAGAGTACTACGGGCGTGTGGGGTGCTAATACCTTCCCCTCGCGTAACAGACTCCCTTACCCGATCTCTCGGTTGCAAGACCGTGACTTCTCCCGTCTCAGGTTTTCTCGATGTTTACCTTTCCCTACATGTGGGATAAAAGACGTTCGATGGCGACTTCATTGTTTGATGATTTTTAGCCAGTTGTTTCACATGCTGAATCGATCTGAGCCGTTAAATCTTAATTTCTGTTATATGATTGAATGATCAGGATGAGAGGTTTGAGAGTTAGTTATGTTTTTGTTTTGATTTTAGAGTTCTGTTAAAAATTGATTATAATGAGCTGGATTTGGTTGCTTATTGTTGTTAGATGTTATTTTCAGTTAGTTGGTTCCTTTCTATTCAATACTTTTCTCTGATTCTATTTTCTGCTGCGAGCTTGCCATTGAAAACTTGTTGAGATGCGTTATCCTCTTTATTTATGTTTTAGGCTGATGTAGGATGGTTGTGCGTGGAATGTTTTTTTTACCAAGTTGATGTGTGATTTACCCCAAAATTTTCCCTCTCACTTATCAATTATTTTCTCACAAAGATCTCTCTTGGTTCAAAATTGCACTAGGATTGATCAACTCAAGACACCTCCTTAAGCACTGATGACCAAATTAGGGTTTGAGATTGCACAAGGATAATTGAATTTTTAATGCTTCATATGACTTTCATGGGTCATTATGGACCCCCAAGATTACTCATGTCAAGTTTCAAGCCTTGGATCACACTTTTGCTCAGTCAATTGAGCAGTTGACCTAAAAGTCAGTTGTTTTGGGGAAAAAGTCAACTATGGCCAATTCACAATCAAACTTCATAATTATAAATCCACATCAACATTATAAACTCATATGTATCATTTGATCAAGTTTGGACCACAATTCCTCAAAAAATTTGATCAAATCATCAAAAGGGCAAAATGGTCAAAATTAGGGTTTTGACTGAGAAGGGGCAATTTCTGATTTTTTACCTAGAAAATGATCAATTGGTTTGAAGCATAATCTCAAGAGTTCAATTGCATCATTTTTATCTAATGTCATGACCTAAAAAATTTCTCAAGATCATTGGATTGACTGATGAATTTCTGTCAACTGATGAAAAGTCAACTGTGCATTAAAAAGTCAAACTTTGACTTTTTGATCAAAATCAAGTTTCAAAAATCATATTTCATCAAGACTTGTCAAAATATGAAACTTATTCATCAAGAAATCGAAAAGTCAAAATTATCTTTGAAAAGTCAAAATTCTAAACTTAGAAATTTTTCTAAGTGTTAGAAAGTTAACATTTTTTCATAACTTTGTGCCAAATTTCCACCATGATGCAAGATGATTCATGAAAAACTTCAAACATGAAATTTGTAGATCTCAATTAGATCTAAAACATTGTAGGTCATATATTTTTCAACTTATGAATTTATGAAGACATGTCCATGAAACTAAAAATACTAAGTGAAATTTTGAGTATTTTAGTCAGGATTTTGACCTAACTTCATGGAAACTTTTCACCTAGTTCTAAATTGATTATTGAAAAATGTCCAACATGAAGGTTGTAGAGGATGTTCCAAGCTTTTCAAAATGTCTAAGAACTTGAATAGATCATTTTTGAGCTAGGAGATTCGAAGACTTGAAGTTGGCATGATAAACTTGAATTATAAGTCATTTTTGTGATGAACTCATAATCAAATCTCATGACCTTATCATTCAATATCACTTTTCGGGCCATGTTGCTTCTAAATATCTCAATAATTAAGTAATTACACTGACCCCAAGTGTATTACACAAGGATTTGATGTTTTTTCCAAGTCTTTATACCATTTATTGTTGAAATTGCAAAAAGTAACATATTCATTCTTGTAAAGCAAGCTTTTTCACAATGTCAACCCTTTCTTGAGCCTCTCAATAGCTCCATCTGCACACACTCAACCTAGTAACTCATAAGAAGCTTATTTAAAGTGATTCAACCACTCTACATAGCTTGTACCACACATTGGGATTTTGGTTTTCCACTTTGCTTCAAAAACAAGCAAAAATGCCATAACATGTGATCTTGATAATCTGACCATCTCAAGTCTCCAAACCTTTTCCTATATATAAAGACACTCTTATGAAAATTAGGGGATGAATTTACAAGCCCTTAAACCCTCTGATACACTCTCAAAACCGAATTGGCCAAAAATCACCATTTTTAAGCTTTTCAAACCTTAACTTCGAAACTCATAACTCTTGCAACTATTTTCCAAAAAAATCATCTAAACACTTCATATATATCATATAGAAACTATCCATACCCCTGTTTCCTCACTGTAACATCATTTTCATCATCCACAATTTTCAAAATCCACCATTGCAATTTGACTTGAGTAGATTAATCCAGATGCTTTCAAGGCAAATTAAAAGTTGCAACATACTCACCAAGGTCCCAGGAAGCTAAAGCAATCATCATATTGCTTCTCGAAGTCGTGTAGAGGATATTGAATTTTTACATCAAGAGGTAAGTTTTTCCAACTTTGAAATCTTGATACAAGCATCATTTGCACTTACTTTTAAAAGATTAAATGTAGATATCATGTCTATGAAGCTAACCATATCCTTAAATTTCATTTTAATTGACTGTGGGATGAGAATTTTGAAACTAATTTTTTTGGACATTTAGGTTTTCAGTTTGGTACAGGTATAAATTCGTGAGTTATAGTGGGAATAAATAAAAACTAATTACATATTTGAAATCCTTGTGAAATTATAAGCAAGTATCATTTTTACATTTTTGAATTTGGTTGAGAAATGAGGAAGTTAGAGTTTTTTTTTGAAAAAAAATGGAAAATACATGTTATTACAGTAACAGTAACAGCGTGCAGGAGGAAGAAGAATGAGGGCCTGACTATTTTCAAATTTTTACATCCAAGTTAATTTTATATTCAATGATTTTTGTTTCACTAACGGATGTAACAGCCACCCCAGTGGCAAGCAGCGTGCGTTTCATGTCACTTTCACCTTAAGGGCGCTGGTTCGAACCATAGTGAACCCCCCTTTTGCATATTTTGTGATTTTGTGATTTCAGGAAGCAATGTTCTCATATAATATTATGCAATCGTATGGTTGACTAGGAAACATGCTTGGCCTAGTGGTATTATTTTGAGCCAACAACCTGAGTGTCTTGAATTCAACCCTTGGCAGGACCCAAAATCTTATTTTTTTTATCACTTGACTCATTTTACATTTTTAACAAACTTCAACAATTTATTTAACCCATCAAGTTAACTCCTTTTGAACTAATTTTTTGCACACTACTAGTTTATTAGGTCTATTTTATGAATATATAAAAATATCACCAAAAATATTTTTATTTTCATTATTCGTGATTTATTCAAAGTAGCATCTTTTAGTTTTTTATTTATTTATTAAAAACAAAAAAAAAAACATTTTTCTTAACAAATTTCTTTTCTTGATTAAATTAATTTTTAACTTAGTTTTTGCTTTTAATTTCTTTTCTAATTAAATCAAATTATAATTTAGGGATTTTAATTAATTAAATTCTTTCCTTTTATTAGTTTAATTAAATCAAGACTTTTCATAAACAAAAAAACCTAAAAATGCTTTCTTGATTAATTTTATTTCTTCT